TTTAATATTTGTTATCTACTCTGTTCTTGGTCTTCCCCTGTATCTTTTCCCTTCTATTTGACCCTCTAGTATGACTTGCTGGATGTTTTCTCGTGTCATCTTCTTGAAGGTTGGTACAACATATATTTTCACATTCACCATACATAGAACTTCTCCTGTTGTTACCTTGTCTATCCAGGATCATCTTTCTCTACACCCACATCTCAAATGCTTCCAGTTTGTTAATCAATGCTTGTGTCAAGGTCCATGTTTCACAGCCATATAACAGAGCTGACCATATATAGCACTTTATTATTTCTTCCTTGTTTTTACTCTTATGCTCTTTGATGTTAGACTTGTTTTCATACTATTAAAGGCATCTCATTCCATACCTCCTTCCTGGGTTATTTACATCATTCAAAATACCTTGTAAGTCTTGTTCTGTATCAGCCATCAGTACAGTGTTATCAGCATATCTTAAATTGTTTATCAACATGTCACCAATCTTAATACCTTTATTACTCTCAATGCTGTGAAAGATGTTTTCTGTGTACAAATTAAATAGACATGGGGAAAGGACATATCCCTGGCATACTCCTCTTTTAATTTGCATTTCTAGCGATAATCCATCTTCGGTCCTTTTCCACCTGTATAACTGAAGAAAAATGCCACATTTATCTGTAATGTATTACTCTTTATGAATACAGGATTTACCTCCTGATTTGTGCATTGAAAATAAAATAAACATGATAAAGCTGTTTCACTGTCCCACACTTTCCATCCACAGCCTTCTCAGTTTCTTGACTTTGAGAAACATAAAGAAACTCCTTCTTGTTCCTTCACTGTTTTTACACTGCACTCCACATAAATAAGACATTTGCAAGCAGAAGTAGCAGGAGTGTAACAAGAACTGTTTAACAAGATCAACATCACTGACTACTGCTATGCAGGAAGTTCAAATTTTAGATCCTTGTGTGATCAAACTAATCAATGATTTCTAAATTAATAAAAATCTATGGTACAAAATATGTATATCTATATATTTTGGTACTGTTCTCATATTACATGCTAAAACAAAAGAAAGTTTATTTTT